TGCTCACAGGAAGAGACTTGATTCTTAAAGGAACTCACTGGCAAATCATGAGAGGTGAAGATGTGAGAGTTTGGGTGGATCGTTGGTTACCTTCCTTTTCCTTGGGGCATCCAATTCCGCTAGGTGAAGTGGCGGTGACTAGAAATCTTTGGGTTTGCAACCTTATATGTCTTTTCTCTCGAGAATGGGATCTTAATTTCCTGCATCCTTTTTTGTCGGACGTTGATCATGAGGCAATTAGAGAAACGCCAATTGGTGATATGAGTAGGAAAGATCGATTGATTTGGGCAGCTACTAAGAATGGAAAGTACTCAGTTAAATCTGGGTATAGGTGGATTCAATCGCGATCCATAAGTTTGAAAGATATTCGCCTTCCTCATGCTCGCTCTGTTTCAGAAGAGCTATGGAAGTGTATTTGGAAGATTGAGGTGCCTCCTAAGATCCGCCACTTTTTATGGAGTTATCTTCATAATGCCCTTGCCACCAACGTTAATCTTTTTAAACGTCGAGCTTCCACTTCCCCAATCTGCCCTATTTGTCAATGTGAAGATGAAACCACTGAACATATTTTCCTCCTATGTCCGTGGGTCAAACATGTTTGGTTCGGTGGGGTTCTGAGTTATAAAGTTGATAGTTCTGCTATTAGTTCCTGGCTTCTTTGGTTGCAGGCTATTTTTTCCTCAAATTTTGGAGCCTCTGTTGATTGGATGAGGGTTCGCACGATCGTGGCTTTTACCTATTGGTTCATTTGGAAAGCTCGGTGTGATTTTGTTTTTAATCATGTGAGAATCAATCCCACTAGGGTTGTTTTGGCTATTTCTACTAAGGTGGGATCCTTCTTGGCTGCTGTTAGGAAACTGGAGGTCAGTGGGTCGAGGGATAATGTCGGCTAGGTTACAAATCAGGTGCCTTGTTGGACTTCCCCGGTTTCCCCTTTTATAAAAATCAACGTCGACTAGTTGGTTTAAGATGTCCTTGTCAGGTTTCATGGGTGTAGTTTTGAGAGGAGCTGAGGGGCAGTTTATTGCTGCAGCGCGTTACTCGATCAAGGCTTCCAATTCTGCTGCTGCTAAAGCTTTGGCGTTGCTTCGCGGGTGCGAGTTGGGTGCTTCATTGGGTTTGTCATAGGTTATTGTTGAATCTGATTCTCTCGAGGGAGTCTCTTGCCTTTCTGATTCTCTTGAGGATGGCAGTTGGGAGGCTTTTCCTATTTTAACTAGGGTGAGAAAGCTAGGGGAAACCTTTCAGAACTGTCGCTGGTCTTGGGTTCCAAGAATAGCTAATATGGCGGCGGATGTTCTTACGTCGCGGGATTGTACGGAGATGTGTGATGTTGTTTGGGTTGATAGACCTCCATCTTCGTTAGTTTTTGTTTTGAACAATGATGGTCTTCCTTGTCCTCACTAGGCGTGGAAGGCAGTGCTAGGGGGCGACGCTTCCACTCGGTTGTAGCGTCACGTTCTCTGATCTTCCTTTCACTGCCTTCTTTGCTTTTTCAAGCTTTGCGGTTTGCCTTTCTTAGGCTTTCCTGTTTTTTCTTTGGCCTCTGTGCCCGTGGAATGCTGTTCCTTGTTCTCCAAAAAAAAAAAAAAAAATTACTCTTCTACACCAGAGTTAGTTGTTATATTCCCGATTATGAGGGTTTGGTTTTTGGGTGTGGGACTCTGGGTTGAAAGAAAATGTAAAATAAAAAGAGATCTAGCCTAAGTGGTTTACCTACATGCATAATGCATTGCCCATAACAGATCATCTGTATGAAGAATATAAGGATATGCCTCCGTAGACGATTACATTTAGTCAATGACATCACCTCTTTTCTTTTTCTTTTTTTTTTTGTGAAACAAAAAATGAAAAAATAAGGGATAATTCATTAATTGGGCCAACAGAAGATTGCCACAAAGAAAGACAATGCTAACCACTTGTTTCGAGTTTAATTAACCCTCTCCTTTAATTTAGTACAGTATGGAGTAGCCTGTACCTTTTGCACCTCCCAATCAATAAATCGAAAATATTTTAGTCATCAACCCGTTTTTAAACACTGAATTATCGTATCAATGTTAATCAAATGGCTAGACAGTTTTTAATTTGATTTATTTTGCGCATACATGATTTTTGAAAGCTGATCTCGAAAAAAAATAGTTTTGATTATCGTACAAAATTGCGAAGTGGGAATGAGAAGCAGTGACGAAGTTACCATCTCATATATGGTTTTCCAAAATATTATGAATCATTTGTTAAACCTATTAAAAAATAGAAGAGGACCACATGACGAAAAATTAGATGGTAGAGGGAAGCTACAAAGGATGCCGATTGATGATGCAATTAAATGAAAAACCTAACCATTTTGGTGGTTCTGGGATCGCATAAGGAGGAGCGAGCAACGTTCAATTATTTTTACTCTAAATTGAATATTTTATAATGTCTTTTCTTTGCTCACTTGAGGGCAAAAAATTAAAAGAAGAGCATTAAAATCACTAGCAGTTTATAAGTAACTTCTAACTCCACATAATGTCAACAGAAATTTCAGAGAAAGTTCCTCGTATGAACGGATCAACAAACCAAATTAAAGGGCTGCGACTTGTGGGCAGGAAAGCCGTGCCTCCTAGCACACTTGCATTATGGTTGGTTTGCCTTCATGTATAGACTAGGACTCGTCTTTGTTTCCTTTAGACCCAAGAAAGATAAAATAAACGACTTGGAATATGATTTTGTTGAACTCATTTTAATGGTTCTAGAACAGGCAAGAGAAATATACTTTGAAGGTTCTTGAGATTTGGTTATGCCTCGTGCAGCATGTTACTTGGCAGCCAAACTAAAATTTATGGATCTGGAAAAAGAAAAATAACGAGAATGAGAATAATTAGTCTTCTAATTGATCTGATTCTTGATTTTCGGTAATGAGTTATAATTCAAGGTGGATGTTCACTTTTGTCCATTTCAACTTTAGCCTATCATGATAAGCTTCAAATTTTCAAATATAGCAAGAAAACCAGTTGTAAGTCTTCTTAAACTTATAAAAGTGCTCTTGCACAATAACTTTGCTTATAATATAACCATTTTAACTAAAATGATCTCTGAGATTGGTATAAGTCTTTTTTTTAGTCTCTAAAATTGAAAATCAATAGTTTATCTATCGTCAATCATTTTGGTCATTTCGTGAAAAAACTCTGTTAAATAAAGACCAAAATGACAAAAATACCTTCAATTTAATGAACAATGAGCCAAAATATTTGACAAAATTCAAGGTATTTTTGTCATTTTATTTTATTTAAAAGAGATTTTTCATAGAATGACCCAAATGATTGACGCTAAACAAACTCAAATAACCTATCGATTTTAAATCTCAATCTCAGAGAACAAAGTGAGGAGTTATGACCAAAATGCATCCCACATTAAAATTTAATATTAAATAACTTATTTACCCCACTATGCAATGACAATTTTGACCTTATTAGGTTAAAAAAAATTCTAAATACACCCAAAATCACTTTTAGCGTATTATTTATCTTTTCAACCATCAAAACCCTCCCACCCTATTGTTGAACAAAACCCTAGCCAAAAATTGGTTTTGACTAATGGAACACGAAATCGATGTTTAGGAAGTTTCACATGAGGTAAGACTTCGTATTTTTTATTGTTTTAGTGATTTCGATGACATAGATAATTATTTAATCTTGCATTTGCTGCATTATTTAAACCTATATATTCATCTGGGATCATACTCGTAAACAAGCTCACTGGAACAGATGCAATGTACCCTGTCTATCATATGATTGGTAATCATTGCCTGTACAATCTTCCCCGCAACAAATTACTCTCGATATTGAACATTCCAAGTGTCGATGGTCGTGCCTACGATGACTTTTCACCGGCCCCAGAATTCAGATTTGTTGTTTTGGATGGCTATAATATCAGTGCTATTGGCTGGCCTCAAGATCATCCATGTACAATCGAGGTTTTGAAATTCCTTCAAGAGAAAATTCCAAATTCAGATAAGAACAGTCCGTCTGGCCTGGAGGGCCTCGAGAGAAGGCTCCTTATGTTCAACGGAGCTGTTGGAAAGGAACAATTAGAATGGTATCTAGCAGGCATGCAAAGCAACCTTGAAAGATATTTGAGCTCCTTCCCCAAGCCATTCCTTACTTTATACAAGCTTACTTGACCACCAAGCTTAGAACCCCTCACATAAATCACAATCACATTTAAGTTGGTGACGATGAATATGTATCATCAATTTAAACTCGCATTGCATGCATTCTAAAACCCTAATTGGTGATATGCTAATTACCTTTAGTCATATGGCAATGAATCGAACATGAAAAATCATAGATTAGTAATTAATCGCATTAATCTTGCAGTTGCTAATAAAAAAAGTCTTATAAGATTTGATAAATGTGGGGTGTATAGAAAATGTGGGGTGTATGTACAAAATATAAGGTGTATATTGAGAATATGGGGTGTGTGGGTATTATGGGAAAGTAGATGAGATGTATTAAGATAATTTTTAAATGAAAAAGCAAATGTGGGGTGTATTAAGTATGTGGGGTTTATTCAACAATTTGTAAGGTGTTAATATAATAAGCCCTTTTTTTATTTCTCACACATTTTTTAGCAATTTTTGTGATTTTATCTTTTTCAATTCTTTTGGTCCGACGTGAGAAGTAAAAAAGATGTGTAGATAACACACCCCTTTACTTAAGCCGTTGTTTTTGTACATTTATTTATTTATTTTAATAAATGATATTTTTTACATTAAGGGTGAGAGAGTACGCTAAGACTCATAATGGGTTACTAATAATCTGGTTAAAATTAGTTTTTGACAAAAATCGAACTTAAAATCCTTCTCTTGAGGGAGAGGAATATCGTTAGACTATAATACTAACTGGTTTATTGTACATTTATTTTGATTTTCTATTGAAGACAGAATGATCGGACAGCCTAAAACAAATCAAGATCAAAATCCCCCCAAAACCAGAGCTTTAGATGACAGCAGTCATTTTACAAGTGGTATAACACGCAATCAATTGATTCAACTCTGCACGCACACGGCGCACAAAGACTCAGCCGCAAACCACCACCTCAAAAAAACCAAAGCGAAAATCCCAAAGCCTCCGCCTTATGTGGTCCTCCCTGCGACTCTTCGTTCTGACTCAGTGACTCAGTGAACTCGTCTTCGTCTGCAAGTCAAAACACCGGCTGCGAGCCTGCGAGCGGTAGCCTCTGAAAACCGTGACCGAATTTACTGAACTACCCACCCACTGCCACCTAAATTCATTGAATATTATTTTTCCCATATAAATATTACTAACTTCCCTTCCATTTTCTACATTCTCTCGATTTTCTCATATTCGCAGAGAGAGAGGAAGCTCCGTGCGATCCGGTTGAGATTTGAGAAATGGCGGCGACCAAGTACAAGTACCTGGTTGAAGTGGAGAAGGCCAAGGAGGCCAAGGACGGGAGGCCGTCGCAGGGACCTGTGTACCGGAGCCTCTTCGCTAAGAATGGCTTTCCGCCTGCGATTCCCGGAATGGACAGTTGCTGGGATGTTTTCCGGTACTATTTTTGTTTTTAATCTAATAGTTCTGTTTGGTTGCCGAGAAAGCGCAAGAAAAGAAAGAAAATTAACAGAAGTTATAGTCTTTGCTTGGCAGTTTGTTGTTTGATGCAATTTTTTTTTTTTAAATTAAAGTTAAAAAAATCAGTTGAGCTGAATGCTTCGTATATATCGAACTCTGAAATTGGGCGATTTGGAATTTGATTTTTCGTAAGGATTTTGTTTCTACATGATTTTTTTATTTTTTTATTTTTTTCAGTGATCGAGCGTGGTACGGATTGTTCAGCGTTTTTTTTCTGAGAATTTTAGTCACATTTTGTAATTTGTATTTTCAGTTGTGAAGTTTGTGGCCTTGGCTTAAAAAAAGTGGCAGCTTTCACAATTTGAATGCAATAAGTTCAGTTTTTTACCATGCTAAAGTGATGCAGTAAAAAATTTCACGGTGAAAATTGTTTTGGTTTTCGATAACGAAATGCAAAAGTATTGCTGAAGAGGTTTGATGTAAATCGGGTAGCTTGACTGAAAATTCAGTTGGTTCAGTTTTGCCATGGAACAGCATAACAATTTGATCTGTCCACAAAATCAATGACTTTTATGTATGAATTTTTCTTGTTTGTAAATGGTCTTGCTTGTGTTGCAGCATGTCAGTGGAGAAAAATCCCGGAAATCCAATGCTCGGTCGTCGGGAGATTGTGAATGGGAAGGTATAATATCGTAGTTGTACATCATCTGTGTCTATCTGCCGTGATAGCGTTCTTTCTACCTAATTATTTTGATTTGTTGCTAATATGTAAAGTTTTGGTTCTTTGCAGGCTGGTAAATATGTGTGGCTAACATATAAGGAAGTGTATGATGTGGTAGTCAAAGTTGGAAATGCCATTCGCAGTTGTGGTGTGGGCGAAGTATGTCATTGTCTGTTCTCATTCGCTAATTTATTTTTCGTTCACTGCTCCGCGAACTCTTCTCCCGTGCAATTTACGTGCATATTATGAATCAGCGTATTTACTTGTGATTGCAGGGAGACAAGTGTGGTATATATGGTGTCAACTGCCCAGAATGGATTATGAGCATGGAAGTATGCTGTCTTTTTCTATTTTCATTTTCTTCTGTAACTTCTTCCATTTGTTTTTCCTCTTACCTGTTTGGAAAAATGCTTACTTGATAAAGATGGTAGGGTTTTCAAGCGTATTTTGTTTTGTTACTTACCATTCTGTACTGATATGGTCCATTAAAGAAACAAGAAAAGAAGTCTTTTCCTGTCCATTGTGGTATCCTTGAATTCTGAAGTGAGTTTACATCGAGAAATTTTTCTTATGTCTGGTATCTCTACTTGGGCTTGCACGCTGTATGAAACGCAGTTCATTCATATTTGGTTATATTTACATAAGTCTCCTTTTCTCTGGGAAACTCTAGTTAATAATAAAACATTTCTGCAGGCTTGCAATGCTCATGGACTCTATTGCGTGCCTTTATATGACTCCCTAGGTAGGCATATCTCTTCTTTATCATGTAGCCCGCCCCAGTCAGTTGGGTTGAAGGGCTTGGTTGATATAGTTGAGGTGTACCTTAACTCGCATTTCGTGATTTTCCAATAGTTTTTTTAATATTTTTTTCCCCTAATCTCTGATATATGGTTTAGGTGCTGGTGCTGTGGAATTTATCATATGCCATGCTGAAGTTTCAATTGCTTTTTCTGAAGAAAAGAAGATACCCGAGGTACATGATTCTATATCTACAATTTTATTGCTTAGTAAAGCTTTAATGTGGTACCGGTACATCAGAGCAGAGGATACTTTTGTCAGATTATACTGAAAATATAGGTTGAATATTGACAGTAACTACGTAAAAATGCTAGTGGGTGACAATTTGAGAGTTATGACATTTTAAAGCTGCTAGTGCTCATTCATGTTCTCTTCTTTTACTGCCCTTTCAGCTGTTGAAAACATTTCCTGGTGCGGCAAAATATCTGAAGAGTAAGTCGCATATTTCTCATATTTTTTCCGAGATTCTTTGTGTATGTATCTGTTGCTATTAAATTAACTTCTTTATCTTTATTTTAAATGCAGCACTTGTGAGCTTTGGCAATGTTACACCTGAACAAAAGGAAACACTTGAGCAGTATGGAGTGGCATTATATTCATGGAGTGAATTTCTGCAACTGGTGGGTTCTATTTTTGTTCTCCCAATCTCTTCTCATGTAATAAATTATATTTGTGACCCAAAGAAAATTTTCTGAAAACAAAAGAAGGACAAATGCCTCTACATAACTATTATGAGGAAAATAGTTAGGAAATTTCTTACGGAAGTACTCCCCTTGTGTTGAACACTGTTTAAAAGTTGAAATGATTCTTCTCTATCTGTGTGTAATTACCGAACTGCTAATCAGTTATTTGAAAGATAATTACTGTGTGATAATTTAGAGGAAATGTGTAATGTGTTCAGGGAAGGGATTCCGGCTGTCATATTTCATGCACAGTTTGGTTAATTATTTATTTCCAAATTATCAATACTGTACATTTTTCTGGTTTAAGTTTTAAATATGCTCCTGCAGGGAGAGAATAAAGATTTTGACCTTCCAGTAAAAAAGAAAAGTGATATCTGTACTATAATGTATACTAGTGGAACAACTGGTGACCCCAAGGGAGTATTGATATCCAATGAAAGCATCATTACTCTTCTGGTTGGGGTGAAACGTTTGCTAGAGAGTGTAAATGAACAGGTGAGTTCCTCTTCATTTCAAACGACATACCTCATTTTGTGAGAACAAGAACTGGTTACTTGTGTTTTAGAATACTGACTTTTGCATTATATTTTTTGTTTTCTTTTTCATTTTTAAAGTTGAGTGAGAAGGATGTATATCTTTCATTTCTTCCTCTTGCACATACCTTCGATCGGGTGATTGAGGAGTTATTTATCTGGACTGGCGCCCAAATAGGGTTCTGGCATGGGGTGAGTACAATTACTTATTGTTCGTTTCTAATAAAAAAATTTAAGTGTGATATTGACTTATATGTTATTTCTCATTCTTCAGGATGTCAAATTGTTAACTGCAGACATTGGGGAGCTAAAACCGACTATCTTCTGTGCTGTTCCTCGTGTATTAGACAGAATCTATGCAGGTACTGTTCAACCATAAGTACTTGTTGGCTCACATTCCAACATCTTAAGCTTTTGGGAACAGTGATGAACTAACATGGTACCCGAACAAGGGACCTTAGGTTGAAATGTAACATGTTGGGCTCCAATGGTGGGGAGAGGCTCACATGTGAGGGGTCTGTTGTTATTAAAGTAATCATTAGACCAATCCTAACATCATAAGCTTTTGGGAATAGTGGTAATACAAGTACATTTACCTCCTGGATTAATTTGCCAATGAATTTGATTTTCTGGATCTTTCGCTCAAGTGGAAAGTAATGAAAGAAACCATTCATCTCAGTGGAGCAATCAGCTTGTCGGTGCATGATTTTAGCCATGGAACTGAGGCTTCTTACTCGTTGATGCAATTATATAAAAATTGTGTAATAACTTCAACTGAAATGCTATATAATTTCTATGCACATTCCAGGCTTGACACACAGGATTTCGTCAGGCGGCTTTGTGAAAAAGACCATGTTCAATCTTGCATATTCATAGTAAGTGCCATTCTTTGCGTTGATGATTAGTAAAACACCGTATCTTATCAAATTTTTCTACATGCCTATTCTGAAAAGAAGCTTGAACTTGTGCTTTATCCTATTTGTTGTACCCTTCTTCTTACTTCCTAAACAAGATACATTGTATCTGCATGTGGATTGCTGTTTTTTTTTTCCTGAAATAACCTGTCCATTTGTTTGATGTGCATGTACACCTGTGTGGATTCACTGCAAATTTGGTGAATTTAGACCTACTTGATATTAAGGCTTGAAGTAGATATAGATATTTGTGTTCTTAGTGGAAGTAGATAATAGGATGGTTGTTATTTGAGCCTGATGTTTCATCTGGTGCTGCAGCAAGTATCATAACATGCAAAAGGGCCATGGGCATGCACAGGCGTCTCCCATTGCTGACAAAGTTGTGTTTAGTAAGGTGTTTCCTTCTACTTGAACATGCTCTATATTCTATGAACAACAATTGTAACCCTATTATCCTTCCTAGATTGAGCCTAATTTATGTTCCGACAACTTCAGGTAAAGCAAGGATTGGGTGGTAGGGTGCGGCTTATACTGTCTGGAGCTGCTCCTCTTTCTACTCATGTAGAAGCTTTCTTACGAGTGGTGGCGTGCGCTCATGTTTTACAAGGATATGGTAAGCTATCTTCGGGAGCTATACTCAAGGGATAATATAAGCTAGTTTCATTTTATCATCAACTTTATTGGTTCATCTCGGTACATTGATAACGTATTCTGTATATATGCTACTGTAGGTCTGACAGAGACTTGTGCGGGGACATTTGTATCACTGCCAAATGAACTTTCAATGCTTGGCACTGTGGGACCTCCAGTTCCGAATGTGGATGTGTGCCTAGAATCAGTCCCCGAAATGGGATACGATGCTCTTTCAGACACACCGCGTGGAGAAGTATGTGTAAGGGGTAACACTTTGTTTTCAGGGTACTACAAACGCGAGGACCTCACCAAAGAGGTCCTGATAGATGGCTGGTTCCATACAGGTTTGTTCATGCTGGTGTATTTCGTTTGTCTATTATGGCTCACATATCACACACTCCAGACATTAACTTTTGCCCATAATTATCTTTGTATCAGGGGATGTTGGTGAGTGGCAACCAGATGGAAGCTTGAAAATCATTGACCGAAAGAAGAATATTTTCAAGCTTTCGCAAGGAGAGTATGTTGCAGTTGAAAACTTGGAGAATATTTATGGACTTGTTTCTGATATTGACGCGGTATGCCTTTCTGCTTTCATAATTGCATTTCAAAATTATGCTATTCCGTCTGCTATTTTCTTTCTGCTGGTATGTTTTCATGCAACTTTTTAGTAGAAAATGCTCATCTAGATATAGTGACTTGTGTATTTAAGTAATACGTGCATTCAATGCAATATTCTGCTTTAACTATAGTGGGATTTGTTTCTACTGCTTGATATGAATTTGTACTAGTCTGATGGTTAGTAATTTTTTTTTCTGCCAATTTTAGATATGGGTTTATGGGAACAGCTTTGAGTCCTTCCTGGTTGCGGTAGTTAATCCCAACAAGCAAGCAATTGAAAGTTGGGCTCAACAAAATGGTATATCTGGTGACTTCAATTCTCTTTGTGGAAATGCAAAGGTGAAAGAACACATACTTGGAGAGCTCAACAAGATTGCTAAAGAGAAAAAGGTTTCGCCTTTCTTAATTGGAGTACCTTAAATTTGTAGCCATTGGTGGTCACAGAATTAATTTTGGCTTTTGAAGAATTTTGTGAAACTCTTTGTGATGCTCGTGTTGTTTTTTTGGCAGTTGAAAGGTTTTGAGGTTATAAAAGGTGTTCACCTTGACCCAGAACCATTTGACATGGAGCGTGACCTTATCACTCCAACATACAAGAAAAAGAGACCCCAGTTGCTTAAACACTACAAGGTAGCTCTTATCCTGTTACTTTCTCTATGAAATTTCTAAATTCTTGTTTTTACAGTGCACATTTTGTGAAATGTCAACGCCGTGCCCTTGCACCACTATGGTAATCTGATATTATCGCTTGATTTTTTAAACTCTTGTATATTTGTCACAGCATCGATACAGTTCAAAAAGCATCCTTAGCGTTATTTGAAATCATGAAACATGGTATCTGATATTGGAACCTAAGAATACATATGCTCTGTGACTCTGTTGATAGACGGTTTGTGTCTGCCCATCCCTTATGACACATGAAGTTGGGATGAGATAGGCTTAGCGTTATTTGAAATCATGAAACATGGTATCTGATATTGGAACCTAAGAATACATATGCTCTGTGACTCTGTTGATAGACGGTTTGTGTCTGCCCATCCCTTATGACACATGAAGTTGGGATGAGATAGGCTTTAATGGTTGCCGTTGCATGGATCATCCAAGCAAATAAACAGTGCACAACAATGTTTTTTTCACTGATTAAGACTTTAGTGCATGGATTTCTATGAGCAATTATTTATGTTCAAAGTTGCACCCGATCAATTTGTATGAGTTTCATTTATGATCGATTACTTCTTATATGTTAGTGCCGGTGATAGTGCTGACTCAGAATTCTTTTGATGCATAGGATTTGATCGATAACATGTACAAGAGTGCAAAATAAGCCCGATGCCTGAAAGATATACACATGCGGAACCAGAAACCTTAAAGACGTTCAATTCGACAAGTTCTGTTTTAGTTTCTCTGTTTTTATATTTGTGATTGTACATATGCTTATCTGGTAAGTTATGCTTACTGAATGTGAATGTACTTCTGATAATATGCATATACATGTTCATCCAAATGAGCCAAACAGAAACTTTGAGTCTTCTCCTGACCAATTTTGCTGTTGCACTCTGCTATTTTTTTTCATGTACAATTTTGTGTGGGATTTTGATGACCTAGCCGCCCACTACGGAAAAGCAGCATGCGGGTTAGCCAAGGTGTTTAGGCTAACCCGCATGCAGGGTTACCTAAGCTAGCATGGAGGGCTCTTCTCGAGCCTTCTTCGAATGGTTCAATATCATTAATATGTGTAATTAAAGATTTAAGTTTAGTCAAAACCAGCGAGCATTGCTGGTGTAGCGTTATTAAAGGCTAGCTATAACAACTTTTGTGTCATTTGAAATCAAATTTAAACAAACTTTGACTGGACTTATTACGGATGTTTGGCCGAGAATTACTCGTCTTTCTCATTGATTTGTAACTTTGATTAATAGTTAAGGGTTTTGTAACTTTCATTAATGGTTAAGGGTTTTGTAACTTGTTTTTCTTTTGGCAAACAATAGCGTATGTGGTTTAAATAGTTAGTTGTTAGGGGGAGGAGAGTCGGTGAAAGTCAAACCAGCACCATAGTGTATATGCATGATTGCTTTTTGCCACTACGGTAAAGTGTCATCTACAAGAGTTTTGTAACTTAATTAGTTGTCTTTTCTCATGGATTTTGGTTTGAGGGTTAGTTGACTTTCTCCAAAACACCACTTTTTTAGAACTAGTGATAATCTACACTAACTTACACTAAGATTGAGGGGTGCTTGAATTTAGAATGTAGTGAGTTAAAGAAAAGGTCACCAGGGCAATCCAACACTTGCATTTGATCTGTAACTCAAGTAATAGGTAAAGAGTATTCACCTGTGTACATGAGGGGAAACAAATATTTCCTGACACAACACAAGACCTACGATGAAATGATGATCAAGGGGACTGAAATGAGAATTAGACATGAAGAAAACTTGTCCATATAATCCTACTATAGAAACAAAGGAATGACAATGGTGTTGCCTGTTCCATTGAAATTTGACAACCACAAAACGGCATGTCACTTCCGATTATAAGACAATTTTATGTCCAGATCCACATCGAAGCAATATCATACATAAACGACACTAATTCAATTTTCTCCAGCGACTCGTAGACATCCTTGGAAAAGAAACAGGAAAAGGATCTCAACTATGATTACAAAGCACAAGATTACCATGGCAGACAGCTACTAGGGCGATGCGTTGTAAAATCTGGATGCAATCGTGCCAACGGCTCCAGGGATAATGATGAGTACTGCAGCGCGAGTAGCTCCTCTTTACTATACTTCAATCGTTGATCTGGTTCATAAAATTTAGGAATTCAATTAGATGATTTGTATAAACGCTGCTGCAGAAGAAAATGTTTATATAAATTTTACCTAGAAAACCTGGCAACACTGGTACATTTTCCTGCTTCTGCTTCTGCTTTGCCTGTGAAGCCTTTCTATTTGATCGTGAAGAAGATGGCCTATTAGAAACAATCTGCTTTGACGGAGAGATATGAACAAGTTCATGCCTTAATTCAATCTGAGAATGAGCTTTACAGAAGGATGAGATCGCATCCTCGGTTAAGAGCCAACAACCACTCAGGTCCATCATTCTTAGGGTCGATGGAGGTTTGTATGAATTGAGCCCGGAATTGGTCAGAACACCATCATGAACGCAAAGATTTGTGAGCTTTGGTATAGACGATGTGTGGTAAAGCGAGTTGTCTGTAAGAGATGCACTTTTCAGTGTTAAATCGGTTAACTCATGGAAGCTCTTTAAAGGGTCAAGAGCTGCATCCGTAACTTTCGTATCCTTCAAATTCAACTTTTCTAAGTGTCGGAGACTTTGAAGTGCTGACAGCGAGAGAACTGGAGCTGACTCGGGTTCAACCTGGTGAATGACACCTGAGAAAAGAAAAACACATAATTATGTCACAAATTCCTGCAGCTGAAAATTGTTCACTTCACCGTATGCAGTGATTTCTCCAGCATAGTTCTGGACAAAACCAGGGCGGCTCTAGCATTTATATACCATACCTTTAATGTTCGTATTGCTCAAGTCAATAAATTTCACAGATGGCATCATGCTAATATATGAAACGGCAACATCATCAACCGATGTATGAGATACTGACAAGAACTCAAGATTGGGTACATGTCCAGTGACAACTCCAACGCCAGCAGAGCTGACTCTGGTGCGGCTAAGATTTAGATATTTCAAATTTACTCCAATACGTGCAATTAGTTCAAGCCAATCATCCCCTATTGTACTTGAGCTGAGATCCAAGTGTTCCAGAGCATTTAGATGAGATAAGAAGTAGAATTTCTGAAGCGAGGAGTTGGATAAATCCAAAAAGGTCAAAAAAGTTTTTTCAATATCATGGAAGGCTTCAAACTCGTCCCCAAACGTAGCTCCAGAAACAATAAGCTTAGCCAAAGGAGCTCTAATTGTACAATTGAAGCTGGTGAATGACACCTGAAGTAGAGAATTAATTGTACAATTACTCATGTTTAGACATTCGAGGGATGACAAATTTGGTAACTTCGTCACACTGGTCCAAGCCAGATTGAGGAAACTCATCTTGGGAAATGCTTGAAGAAGAGCAGCACCTGTGTCAGATATTTTACTCCCCCAAAGATCAAGGTACTGCAGTTTAGTAAGTACCTGAGAAAAAATATTACAAAGCAGAAGTTTAGAGTGAAATGGCGAAACATTGAATGAAAGAAAAGAATCATGTATGAACTGCAACAAGCAGATATAACAGTGTGCATCAAAGGTGAACACATTAAGTTCAGCTGCGAAGATCTCAGGGGCCAAATTCTGTCAAACCACATGAAATATACAACAGAAATTTGAAGATCAAGCTAAAACGAATCATGTCTTTACTTCAGTGACAACCTAAGAAAAGCATACAGTTTAAGAAAAAGACATAAATTGTCAATACCAAGAACTTCTATCAATCAATGATCAAAAACATGTGCGTAAGCATCCAAAAACCGAATTACCTGAAGAGAACTCAGTGCTTGATCAGTAACAGGCAAACCACCCAAGTCCAGGAGAGACAAGTTTCTCAGCGAAGCGAGAAGCATAACCCCATTCGCCGACACACCTGTTTCAGAAATGCACAACTTTTCCAAAGTTGTAATTGATAGAAGATGCCTAATCCCAGCATCAGTAACCTTGGGACATCTCGAAATGTCCAACTCCCTCAAACTCTCCATCCCTAAAAAAGAAACCCAGTAAAATTGTACGCACTTGTTAAAACCCATGATAAAAATTCAATCTTTCTTTTAATTTCGGTCAAAAAATTTAGAAAAATTTATAGAAATAGCATTGTACCAGTAATAGGCCAAAGAGCAGAGGCAGTGAGTCTACGGCAATCAGAAACGTTCAAAGATCGCAAGTACCGAAATGCCCCTAGGTATGCAATCCATTCGGCGTCAACGGAGCTCTCCCCTCGCAGATCAACCTCCTCCACGGTGTTTTTGAATAATCTACACCAAATCCCCACAACCCATTTTATTCACATCATCAAGAAATCGAATTTCTTTAAAATCAAGTAATTTTGCAGCAGTTTTGTTAGATTTCGGAAACGGGTTTCTCGGGAAACAAACAGAAAAGAAGGTGGGAAACTTACTCGAGTAAGGAAGGGAAGAGGAGGCGGCGGAAGATGAGGCGGCGAAGGAGAGAGTCGGCGAGCTGAGGAGGCAAGCGCTCGAGACTCCGTCGCTGCCTCCGCCATTTCTCGACGTTGTCTCTGCTTTCAGAGGCGGCTTGTATGCAGAGCTCCACCAATTCCACCGCCATCTCTCTCTTCTTCTCCCTCTTTGCCCTTTTGTGTGTTGTGTTTCTGAGATGCAAATTGTATTTCAATAATTTAGTCAAGAAGTTGGAGGCCAATTATTACTCTTTTTTTACTTCTTTTTCGGTTGCGTGTAAAACTGTTCGTTTGGGGAACAAGAAATATATTTTACAAAAATAAAAGCAAGAATTAAATAAAAAATTTGTTTTGTCAAATGATAAATATGTTAGATTATGAAGTTTTGGGTTCAAACTCACGTTGTGATGCCAAAACAACATCCCCCAACCACTGTAGTGGAGAACTTACTTGCAAGAAATTAATTAATTGATGGAGGTGCAAAGTAACATGAGCACGAGATCGGCACCAGTTTTGTCATTGCAAACAACGATTTGCCGAAACCAAAAACTGAACCGAAATGACTATTCAGTTCTGTTGTTTTATTTTTTATTTGGTTTGGTTTCTTTCAATTCGGTTTGGGTTTGATTCAATTTTTTTAAACGAAAAATTTGTTTTAAAAAAAATGAAAAGCACCCTCCGCTTAGTCCAATTGTGACCAAAGAACCATTGTGGAGCTGTGAAATACTTTACTTGCAGTATATGTTTGACCAAAGAGACCAACCCGCTTTGTCAAATTGTCAAATGTAAATCATCTAAGATTTAGATGTGTAATTAAGCAAATGCGAAGATGTGCATTGTATGAAACACCAATTTTCTTTCTAGCATTTTATCGAACACCATGAGGCACACAAATTCTGATAAGAATGTCATAAACATCGCCTATGCCTATTGTCACATCCCGGCCCAAGCCCCCATCACATTCCCAGCTCGACTCTACTATAGCACGATATTGTCCGCTTTGAGCCCAACCACACCCTCACGATTTTATTTCTGGGAAATCATACGAGAACTTCCCAGTGGGTCACTCATCATGGGAGTACTATCGTGCACTACTCACTTAACTTCCAAGTTTCGATGGAACCCGAAACCAGTGAACTCTCAAAATGCCTCGTGCTAGCTAGGAATGAAAATATACATATAAGGATCACTCCCTTGGACGATGTGGGATCTTACAATCCACCCCCCTTAAGGGGCCCAATGACCTCGTCAGCACACCACGGTCAGGGTTAGGCTCTGATACCAAATTGTCACATCCCGGCCCAGGCCCCCACCACATCCCCGGCTCGACTCCACCGTAGCACAATATTGTCCGTTTTGGGTCCCGACCACGCCCTCATGGTTTTGTTTCTGTGAA